TATATGAGGTATTTGGTAGATAGAAATGATTAGTTTCCCCAATTTAATCACAATCTATTAAAGAAAAAAAGAAATAATAGTGTCTCTCAAACATTTTATTTTCATCTTTGCTCATTCTTTAGTCCGAATCATACTGACTTGAAAGTCATTCAGTTTTCACTCTTTGGTTTCAAAATAGGACTACAGACTGAATTTCCCCACTTTTGCTTTCATGACATGGTTGATTTTTATTAGAATAATTCAACAAAAACATTTTCATACAGCCATTTTTAATAGATATAGTTTTCATCATTACCTCAGAAGTACACTTTTTGTGTATTTTGTAGTAAGATAATAAAAAGTAAAATGCAAAGCTGAATGACTAGACCTAATTTTGGTCCTAAAATATTAGGTTATGTGTCCTGGGTATAATTTTGAAAATTCCTAAAGCATTAAACAAGTATTAAGAAACCCCATTGCCATTAGCATTGTAATTGATCACAACACAGGATAATATTTCATATTTAATTACACTGTGATAGTAAAAGTTTTCACATTGATAAACAGAATTGCACAAGTTGGTGTAACTTAATATGTTCATTGCTGCCTGATGCTGAGCTGCCTGATCACCTGCAGTGATTCCATTAGACAATTGTGATTACTATCCTAAATAAGTTCCTTTCTGCATTCCCTATATAAAATTGGTATGATTTTCTATAAAGTAAAAAAATTCAGGAACCAACTGAGTGCAGTAGCTCACATCTGCTAGTTTGGCTACTCAAGAGGCCTAAGATCTGATGATTGCATTCAAAGCCAGCCAAGAGAAGAAAGTCCATAAGACTTGAGCCACATAGCTTAGGAACAATACTTGAGTTCAAATCCCCAGGACCAGCACAAACACACACACACACACACATACACACACACACACAACCAAAATAGATATATAAAATAATAGTTATATGAAAAGAAAACAAAAATTGTTATATAAAAAGAAAATAAAACCAGATGAAGAAGAGAACACACCCAAATTAATAAACTCAGAGATGAGAATGGAAACTTCACCACGGAAACAACCAAGATTCAGAACATTATAAGGGAATATTTCTCAAAACTTTATGCTAATAAGTTTGAGAACTTGACTGAAATGGACCTTTTCCTAGCAAATATTGACATGCCAAAACTAAACCAAGATGAGTTAAAC